GTGTCCTGCAGCTCCCGCGGGACGAGCACGGCGACTTCTGGGCCCTGGGCTTGAAGGAGCCGCGGGCGTCGCCCTCGGCCCAGGATTTCCAGGCCTCGTTTCACACCCACCCCCCGAGCTCCGAGAGCATCGTCCCCTTGTTCCGCAGCTTGTATCCCCACGACCTGGGGGCTCCCGACGCCGAGCGATCGCGGCCTTTTCACACCCGGCCCGCCCTTTATCCCGAGCCCACCCAACAGCCCCGGGACGACGCGGAGGCCTCGGTCCCCAGTGCCACCCGCCCGAGCGATGCCACGAAGGCCACGGCCACCCCCAGCCACCCTCTCCAGTGAGCGGCCTGCTCAGGCGTCTCTGCCAAGCCAGTGCCGCCGGGAAGAGGAAGGCGTGGCCCGCCATCGCCCGCCAGCCTGTCTCCCAGATCCACGTCCCGGTGGCTCCTTGGACTCCTCTGATCCAGACATGAGTAAATAAGTTATCAATAAAAGCCACTGGAAGCCAGTGGGCCTCTAGGAACTAAGCTGCCGGCTCTACCAGATCACGGAAATCTGTTCCTCGTGCTTGGGAGTCCAGGGAGAGAGAGCGGGCCGGAGCTGTATTGTCTTGTGTCCTGCCAGCAGGTGGAGTTCTGGAAGGTTTTTGGAGGATGCCATCAGAGGGTACTTGGGGCAACCTTCAATGACATTGAATGGCATGGTGGGAAAGTTATTCCTTTTATTTATTTATTTTTAATTCTAATTCTTTTTTCAGTTCCTTCTGATTTCATCAGAGAGGTTTGTCTATAGTTTGGGTTCGTGTTTTTAGTTTCCATTTTTAGTTCTATTGTGCAGGTGCTGGGGCTCAGACACAGGCCTTCAAGCTCTCTTTTTGTGTGTTTGTTCAGAGCTGGTGCTCTACCACTTGAGTCATGCCTCCAGCTTGCCTTTTTGCTGGTTGATTTAAGAGTCGCTAGGAGTTTTCTGCCTGAGTTGGCTTTGAACTATGATCTTTATATCTCAGCCTACTGAAGAGCCAGGGTTACAGGCATGAGCCACTGGAACCTGGCTTGGGTTAGGGTTTTTTGTTTTGTTTTGTCTGCTGTGGGGCTTGACTTCAGGGCCTGGGTGATGTCCCTGAGGTTGTTTTCTCTTCCCTGCCCCCTCTCCAGTTCTGCGGCTTCAAGTCAGGACCTGGGCACTGTCCCTGGTCTTCTTTTGCTCGAGGCTAGCACTCTACCATTTGAGCCACAGTGCTACTTCCTACTTTTTCTGTTTATGTGGTATTGGAATCTAACCCAGGGCTTCATATATGCTAGGCAAGCACTCTACCACTAATCCACATTCCCAGTTCTCTGAGCTCTTTTTTGCTCAAGGCTGATACTCTACAGCTTTGAGACACAGTTTTCTAGTAGTTAATTAGATATAAGAGTCTCACAGGGGCTGGGAAGGTGGCTCAGTGGTAGAGTGCTTGCCTTGCATGCATGAAGCCCTGGGTTTGATTCCTCAGTACCACATAAGCAGAAAAAGTTGGAAGTGGCGCTGTGGCTCAAGTGGTAGAGTGCTCGCCTTGAGCTGAAGAGCTGAGGGACAGCGCCCAGGCCCAGAGTTAAGGTCCCACGACCGACAAAAAAGAAAAAAAAAAAAGAGTCTCACAGACTTTCTTGCCTGGGCTGGCTTTGAACCATGGTTCTCAGCTCTCAGCCTCCTGAGTAACTAGGATTACAGATGTGAACCACTAATGGCTGGTCTGGGTTTTTTTTTATGACTCTCTAAAGCTTCATTAGGCAAAAACGGCACCCAGAAAAATGAAAATTTAATTGCATCGGGGTTCACACACTTACTTCAGGGTATTATTTCTACTCAAAGCTAAAATGGTAGGGGTTTTCTGTTTTACAACAGTTGCAGTTGTTTGTGGAAGCACAGGGATTTTATGTGAAAAATATTTTATGCAGATCAATGTAAAGGTAAGAGTCAACATGCAAGTGAAACTTGAATGAAGCTGAGTTTGGGAAACATTTGGCTATTCATGCCACATGAGCATTAAACTACTAACCGCCCATTGAGTGCATTTGTGGGTGAGGTTGAGGGGGGAAGGAGCCACTATCTAAAAGCTACTGTCATACACAAAGGTAGAATCTTTCTCTTTCTAATTCTGTTCCTCAGATTATCTGCTCCAGGGTATAGGGCAGAGTGGTGTGCCCTGCTCGTGGCTTACATTGTGCCAAGTACTAAGCAGACTATTCAGAAAGACATTCACCCTCATTTCAGATTGGCTAATTTTATTTCAGCAATGGAACTGAATAATTGGTTGCTGGTGGTCACATTCATTATTTCCTAAGATGCTCCTACTTTCCTTATAAGAGAGTAGATGCACATTCTAGATGTATACATACATATATTCTGTAGATGCTCTTTAGGGGCTAGATATATAGACCATTCTGGTTTTATATAATTTGAGCATTTGATTTCTCAGAGGAAATGCATTCAGCAACTTGGGTTTATTGTACTGAATTTAAAAAACATAAGAGTCTGGGGGTTGTAGCTCAGAGATGGCCCTTGTCTATCATTCTCAAAACTCTGGGATTTGATCCCCACCACTGGAAAAGAAAAAAAATTGCCAAACACCACAAACCATAGTTGGAGAAAGAAAGGACTTGGAGCAGGAAAGGACTTAGCTGGAGTCTGTGGGTAATCTAGATTATTGAAACAATTCTCTAAGTGACACTAAGTGCCTGGAATAAGGTAAATATAAGCAGTGAGCAAATGCAGATCTTATTGCCAGAAAGCACTTGGTCTTTTCTCTCTAAAGCAAAGGAAGAACACTGTAGAGAGGCGAGGCTTTTAGCCAGGGAAGCAGAGGACTGGGAGAGAGAAATGTTTCACAGGAACAAAACAATGCCTTTGAAAGAACTCATTGGCCAGGCATTTGTTGGCCTTCTAGCAAGTGCCAGACATCCTGTGAGGCACTGGGCATTGAGCGCTAAATACAAAGTTCCTCCTCTTTAATAAAGCACTTCTGTCCATCACTGAGATGGCCACAGCAGTAACAAATGCTTTGACAAAACCAGGGCAGACTCATGGGGGCGATGTGAGGTAGACTGAGACTTGGAGGCTGGAGAGAGGGAAAGGAGTACGGAGTGTCTGAAGGTTAAGTTAGGAATTTAACATGGGGCTAGATGAGCCAGGTGCTGGTGGCTCACACCTGTAATCCTAGCTACTCAGGAGGCTAGATCTGAAGATCATGGTTCAAAGCTAGCTCAGGGAAGGCAAGTCTTTGAGCCTTTTATCTCCAGCAAAAAGCCAGAGGTGGAGCTGTGGCTCAAGTGGTTGAGTACTATCCTTGAGTAAAAAAAGTTAAAGGGCAGTACCTAGGCCCTGAATTCAACACCCTACCTCAAAAAAAGAAAAAAAGAAACAAAAAAGGAATGGGAGCTCAGACTGGCCTACAAAGTAAGACTCTTATCTTAAAAAACCAAACATTAAAAATAAATATTTAAAATTGCTCTATTTTTTAATGAGGTATTTAAAGGATGATATCCTAACTTTGGTCCTCAGGTGGCTTACTACCTCTATATAGTAATGATTTTTTTTCTCCTTCTTTGGGAAAATAGTAGTAAAATTATATGAGACTCATGTTGTTTAATTTCTATTTGGAATATTTTTCAGAGTTGTTTTTTTTTAATTAAGACACAAACATGAGGCATTTCTTCTTTTTTTTTTTTTCTGTCCTAAGACTGGGACTGGAACTCGATACTTGACGTTTTTGCTAATTGGCTAGTGCTTTTCTGATAGAACCACATCTCCAGCCCCGCATGAAGTGTTTGTTAGTGATAATAGCTATTGGGTGTTCACAAGGCACTACACATGTATATAGACATTCATCAGAATGGGCACCATCTCCATTTATAGGACGGATGTAGTAATGAAAGTTACAAGAGTCAGAAGTCACAAGAAGTGCTGGAGTAGATGCATAATTGATGAGCAATATTTTATAAGGTATATACCATAAGCTTTCCTTCGAAGTAAAAATTATTTGTGAACCTTTTTATAAGTATGTTAGTCTTCCTGTAAGCTACTGTAATACCCCAGGTTACTCTAGGCTACCTCTCTACTTCAAACTGGCAGAGAGAACATGAGAACAGCTCCTTGGTTTTCTTGTTCCACTCTAGATGATTGTATTTATAAATATATCAAATGAAGTTGCCTTTTTCTTTCCAGAACCCACCAACGTTTCCCCAGGTATAACCACCTACTTTGTAAATGCTCAGAGCTTACCTTAATCTCATTTCATCCCTGCCTCAGTGCTGGCGGTGGCTGTGCAGCCCCTCGCAAGACAGTTACTGCTAGAATTGTTTTTTTTGGGGGGTCCGGTCGTGGGGCTTGAACTCTGGGCCTGGGCGCTGTCCCTCAGCTCTTTAGCTCAAGGCTAGCGCTCTACCATTTGAGCCATAGCACCACTTCAGGCTTTTTTCTTTTTGCTTATGTGGTGCTGGGGAATCGAACCCAGGGCCTCAGGCATGCAAGGCAAGCGCTCTACCACTGAGCCACCTTCCTAGCCCTACTGCTAGAATTTTAAGCCATAAGAAGTTCTGCTGAGCCAGGTGCTGGTGGCTCACGCCTGTAATCCTAGCTACTCAGGAGGCTGTGATCTGAGGATCACAGTTCAAAGTCAGCCTGGGCAGGCAAGTCCATGAGACTCTTATCTCCAATTAGCCACCAGAAACCCAGAAGTGGTGCTATGACTCTTAAATGGTAGAGCACTAGCATTGGGCAAAAGAGCTCAGGGACAGCACACAGGCCCTAAGTTCAAACCCCATGACCAACCAACAAAAAAAGTTCTGCTGTTTCAAATGAGATTTGTTTGAAAATAAGTTAGTATTTTTTTTGTTATGTGTCATTACTATTAGCCACATATCCACAATGCCCTATTCTGGCTAGCTTCATCCGAAGACCAAATAGACCCATTAAGGAGAGAAAGCTACCTTCTGGAATTATGACAGTAAAACACTAGAAAATGATGTTATTGATTGACAAGTTCAGGTACATTTGCGTTCAAAAGAATTTTGGAAGAAAAACATGATTCTTTTCTCAGAAACCTAGTAAAACTCTGAAAAATATTCCAAATAGAAATTAAACAACATGAGTCTCATATAATTTTACTACTATTTTCCCAAAGAACAAGATAATAACTGATTGTTCTTAAATTTGGCCTGAGGATGGCTCTATTTGAGTGTTTGCATAGTGAACTCCAATCTAACTTAGTACTTAAACGGGATTGGAGGTCTATCTTAGGAATATACTTTTGTAACAAACAGTTGAATCTCAGCCAATCATAGCAGCCAAACTCCACTCAATCA